TAGAGGCAGAAAACAGGGGAAAAAAAATTCTGAACTAATGGACTGCAGACACAGTACAGGAGATGACCAGAGACTGCGGACAGCACAGGGATGACCAGAGACTGCGGACAGCACAGGGATGACCAGAGACTGCGGACAGTACAGATGACTGCTGATCTTTGGGGAGGTGGGGAGCGGGTACCTGAATTTGACAGGTACCCGCTCTTACTTCCGCAGAGTTTTTGTTTGATCTTACCTGTTCCTCGATCCAGCCGCGCGCTGTCTTCCCGGCTTCTGTAATGGCGCTCGGCATGACAGCCGGGTGCCCAGTGCGCATGAGCGAGAAGCACTTGCGCTTTGTGATTGGTCCGCCTTACCATTCACAAAAAACACCGTTTCTTGCGCATGCGCACTTGGCACCCGGCTGTCAAGCCCAGCGCCCACACTACAGAAGCTGGGAAGACAGCACGCCGCTGGATAGAGGAACAGGTAAGGTCCCGCTGCAGAGCTGAGCGGCCGGCCCGGTATTCTGACATGGCCGCGGTGGAAATACCAGACCGGCCGCTCCATATTCGCCCCATAAGACGCACTGACATTTCCCCCCCAGTTTTGGGGAAGAAAAAGTGCGTCTTATACGGCGAAAAATACGGTACTTTTCTCTGAGCCCTACTATAGTCATAAAAGGTAATTTTATGATAATCCATACCTGCATGTCTATGGAAAGATCTTTTAGATGCAATTTTCTTTTGACTGTTGGTACCAGGGACGGACTTACAATAGGGGATCATGGGGCCCCTGTGTTCTCGCCCACACCCAAAAAAGCCTATGAAAAAGCCAATGAATGGTACCAGGGGCATCTCATGGGGCCCCCTACTGACCCTGGGCCCTCGGGCAGTGCCCGAGTGCTCGAATGGTCAGTCCGCCCCTGGTTAGAACACATACTGTACATGCTGTAGTATTTATGCAAAAGCTTTGTATACTGTATGTATAGCTGTTAAAATATTCTAGGCAAAATACAAAATTCAGCAACCAATATGTATTGTGTAAAACCATTCGAAGAACAATTCTGGATTAAGCCACAAGCATTATATATACACTACTGTACAAAAGTTTTAGCCAGTTGTGAAAAAAGTGAAGTAAGAATACTATCAGAAACAGAAGTGTTAATAGTTTATTTTTATCAATTAACAAAATGGAAAGTAAAAAAACAGAAGAGAATTCCAAATCTAATCCATATTTGGTGTGACCACCCATTGACTGCAAACCAGCATCAATTCGTCTAGGTACAAACATTGCTTGTGCATACAGTTTTTGAAGGAACTCAGGTAGGTTGTTCCAATCATCTTGGAGGACTAACCACAGATCTTCTGTGGGTGTAAGCTGCCTCAATTCTTCGTGTCTCTTCATGTAATCCCAGACAGGCTCGAGGATGTTGAGATCATAGCTCTGAGGGGGCCAAGCCATCACTTCCAGCTCTTCTTTATAAGGAAGATAGTTCTTCCTCATAAAGATAAACATACATTGGCTGTATGTTTGGAGTCATTTTCCTGCTGCAGAATACATTTGAGGCAATCACACTCCTCCCTGATGGTATGGCATGATGGATACTGTAAGTATCTGTCTGTATTTGTCACCATTGAGGACACCATTGATCCTGACCAAATCTCCTACTCCATTTGCAGAAATGCAGCCCCATACTTGAAAGAAACTTCCACTATGCTTCACTGTTGCTTGTAGACACTCATTATTGTACTGCTCTTTAGCCTTTTGGCAAACAAACTGCCTCCTGCTACAGGCAAATATTTCAAATATTTTGAAGGTACCTGCTGCCATTTTCCTGCACCCTGGTTCCTATGTTTTTGTGCATAGTTGAGTTGCTTAGCCTTATTTCCGCATCAGAGGTATGGATATTTGGCTGCAATTTTTCTGTAAAGACCACTTCTGGCCAGTGTTCACCAAACAGTAGATGGGTGTACCCAGGTACTACTGGTTTCCGCCAGTTCTGTGCTGATGGCACCTCTGGACATCTTCCGGTGTCAAAGGGAAATAAGTATGATGGGTCTTTAATCTGCTGCATTAGGCTTCCTTGGCTGACCACTGTGTCTACGGTTCTCAACGTTGCCCGATCAATGGTGTCCTCAATCCTGAGGAATACAAGCAGATTCTTATCCATAATACCATACCATCAGGGAGGTTTGTGATTGGCCCCAAATTTATTCTACAGCAGGACAATCACCCCAAACATACAACCAATGTCATTAGGAACTATATTCAGCATAAAGAATAAAAAGAAGTCCTGCTGAAGATCTGCTAAAAACAAACGGATGGGGGATTTGTTCCCCATTTCTCTAGCGGATCAGATGACAGTCGAATGTAAATGCACAAGTGGTCTGTTTACATCCAAACACCCCATGTGCAGAGCGGACAGGGACCTGTTATCTGCCTGTTCAGCAGGGATCAGCTGGCTGATCCCCTGCTGAGCAGTCAGATCCATCCCATGTGAAAGGGGCCTTGGAGTGAAGCAGAAAATGTAGATACACAGTAAATAATGATTCATCATGGTTTTCTTGGGTCAGGAAAAACAAAGTTCTAAATGTTTTTGCTCTATATTATAAAATGAACAAATGTGTCAGACTTGCTACTGTAGGTTTTGGGCAAAAAAAGAAGAAAAAAATAGCCATTCAACACATGACAAATTCATAACAAATTCATGTACCTATTGTAAACAGGTAAATGAGTTTAGGGAATGCACCTCACGTAGAGGCGCACTGAGGACGAAGTGTCCATACAGGCACCCTGGCTTCTGTGCATCTCCACCCACAGTCCATATACAGACTCTGTGCAGTGCAGCTGTCACACAGATAGGGAGTTTAAAAACTGGGTGGGCAGAGCATGATGAGGATTAACAGACACTAGTTTCCATCATGTCCACTCCGCTTGTTATTGAAAGCAGGTAATGGGCAGATTATTAGACAATAAACAACCTGCCTTTAGCTTTGGAATCCACTCACTGCCTGCTGTCCATCACAAGGAGAGAGCGGACCTGAAGGGGAACTAATGTCTTAACTTAATAGTAGGCTGCACCCACTGTAGCATCACTGGTTGTTAGAAGGCTGCTGGCTGTAGGGGAGGAGGTAGCAGTAGCAAAAATGTCCCATGCTAAACAGCATACAGAGACAGGCACTCTGCCTGTCTCTGTATACCAACTTATAGTTGGTCATAAAGCGGAGTTCCAGTCGAATAAAAACAATATCAAAAGTCAGCAGCTGCAAAAACTGTAGCTGCTAACCTTTAACAGACAGACACTTACCTGTCCGTCGGTCCAGCGGTGTCCTCACCACGGCTGGTTTCATCGGCCATCTTCTCTCCCTGGTGCCAGCATCTTCAGTGTGGGCACCTGGCTGTGACAGCTTGTGGCTTCATACCAGCTGCCCTTTGTGCATGCGCAAGTAGCGCTGCGCTTTGTTAATGGTCCCATAGCCTTCTGGGACCTGTCACGTGTCCCAGAAGACTGCGGGGAGAGAGGGAGGAGGACAACCTCCACTTCTGATCGCCTTAGGTGACCTCAGCGGAAGTGGGAGCAGGTACCTGTCAAATTCGGGTACCCGCTCCTCAAAGGTGCCATTCCTTAACGAGGATAGGGGGACAAAGGCTTAAAGCGGAACTTCCCCTTTTGGGTGGAGCTCCTCTTTAATTACCTCCAGTTTTGTTATCTACAAACCAAAGGTAATTATTTTTGAATTGGGTGTATTATTGGTACCACTTTGTAAAAATGGTGCTATTAAGAACTACCTTAATCTGCTGCATGTGTCAGTAAAGCTGCCAAAACAGGAGGCAGGGATTTTTTTAATTTGGTGCAGGCCATTTTTAAGGGCCATAGCGCCATAGTGTCATAGTGCCAGAAAAGTGTCATTAGGGACTTATTGAATTCCCCCGAGTGTAATTTCGTCCAACAGTTAATCTTCTAGCAGTAATTAGAGACCTATCCTGGGATGCACAGAAATATAGAGGTTGCAAACAGACTGTTCACTTTGCAAGGGTAGTTGCATTGTAATTATCCCCAGAGCTTAGCTAGTGAGGTAAAGCTCTGCTGACTTCCATCATTCAATCATGTTCAAGCAAAAATGCTGCTCTTTTTAATTTTCCTTGCATATGATAGGGTAATCTTTGCAAAGTTAATTTTTACCACATTCACTAAACTCTGTGGATAGTTTGCATGCAAAGTGCAACTTCCAAGTGAACAGCCAATTTGGCTTTTGTAAATCAAGTGTGTTTTTGACATCACAGTGTATTTTTGTCTCTAAATTCCTAAGCATGTGGTATCAGCCCTGCTTTCTTCATTTTTTATAGAATACAAAGATATCAGACCTCTCTCCATCTCCTACTCCTTCCTCACCTCAATAGCCTCTATAAATAGGCAGAACAGAAAGTTATCAGCTCGCAAGATTTCTGGTAAAATCAAAAGGTATTTTTTGGACTGCTATAATAAAATACTTTTATTGGTTTATTTGGCAGATCAAAAGGGAGATAATAAGAGAGACTCATTGTTGGGGTTTACACTTTAAACTTGCCTACCGTGCACTTTTACCCCCTTCCTGCCCAGGCCAATTTTCAGCTTTCACTGCTGTTGCACTTTGAATGACAATTGCGTGGTCATGCAACACTGCACCCAAATAACATTTTTATTACTTTTTTTAGACAGTTAGAGATCTCTTTTGGTGGTATTTAATCACCTCTGGGCTTTTTATTTTTTGCTAAACAAACTAAAAAAGGCTGAAAATTTTGAAAAAAAGAAAGTTTTTTTTACTTAGTTTCTCTTATAAAATTTTGTAAATAATTAATTTTTCTCCTTCACTGATGTGCGCTAATGAGGCTGCAATGATGGGCACTGATAGGCGACGCTGATTAGGAGGCACTGATAGGTAGCACTGACGGGCATTGGCAGGCATTACTGGTGGGCATTGACAGGCATCACTGATGGGCACTGAAAGGCAGCACTCCTATATGGCACTGATAGGCAGCACTGATGGGCACTGATAGGCGGCACTGATGGGCACTGTTAGGTGGCACTGATTGGCACTAATAGGCAGCACTGACTGGCACTGATAGGCAGCACTGAAAGGAAGCTCTGATGGGCACTGATATGTGGCATTGATGTGCACTGATATGTGGCATTGATGTGCACTGATGGGCACTGGTATGTGGCATTTTTGGGCACTGACAGGTGGCAATTATGGGCACTGACGGGTGGTACTCCTTTCCTCTCGCGCTTTCAGCATGAGGAGAGGACTGCCAATAACCGGCATTTCCTATTTACATGCGATCAGATGTGATTGGACACAGCTGATCACATGAGTGGGAGGACGTCAAATGACATCCTCCCAGAACGAGAGAGTTGCCACCCTCCGCTCATTTCCTTATATGGCGCGTGGGAGGTGGTTAAATCAAGAGCATGTAAAAGAGACAAATATATGCAATTTATACTTTTAAAAAATTCAAACAAGTCATATTCTGTCACTATTTCCCTAAAATGATGTACTTAGATCAAACAGTAGTTCATACTGTAGGAATCAATTAAAAGGGAGGGCAGGGTCTGTATAGGGTTAACTGGCAATGTGTTCAGCTCATTTTCCCTTCAAGTGCCAGGATACAGAAATCTAGGGGTTTCCTTAGTTATGCCGGCCTTGTTGCATATCAAACAGTTACAGAAAATATTTTTTGATGTTAGATTTATATTATGGCAGTGCACTAGCTGCCTTTTGCAGACAGACTACTTAAAAAGATCATTTATTTCTTATCTGGGCAAATATAGTCTCTAGAGTAGGCAAATAACTAAGACCCTGTGCAAACTGAAATCTTCATAATACAATGATTATGTATGTAACCCTAGGGCCTACGGAAAAAAAAAAAACATATTTAGTATGTACTTACTAAGAGCATAGGATTAAAGCAGGTATATAAACGCTATTGTTGTAAAGGGAATGCAAGCCTTATAAAGTGATTGAAAGCAGAAATAAACTCCACAAATGACTTCCCCATATGCATATTTAAGGCTTCATCATCCCTATAGCTCAGCTTTAAATGTGAACTGCTGAAATTAAGCTGATTCTGATGCAACATCAAAAATTAGGGTTTTATCCACTAATATCTGGTCAGACAGGAAATTTTCTGTGGCAGGGAGGCCGGATTACCACTTCTAATTACAACAGGAGATTTACTCTTAGTGGTGGAAGTGAAAGTCTTCTAGCGGACCTCGAGTTTTAACAAAACTAGAAAACGATGAAAGTGCACATGCAAGAGGCAAACATGATGCAAAGCAATCAAGAGACAGCATGCCAACCATTTGTAAATACATTCTGTTGCATTAAATGTATGGATTTAATACATATATCAGAGCTGTTGCATCTGTCAAAAGAATTGTTCCTGTCTATCCAGGACGCAGATTTAAACAGTTCTGCCACACACCTGACAGTGAAGAGGACCTGCTCTTTCTTTGTTGCATTTTCACTTACAGGTCCCCCCTGTACCTCCACCTTCTGGCGGGAGAGCAAAAGTAAAAGCAGCATACTGATGAGTGCATCTGTTTGTCACTTTGTTCTCTTCTGCAGTCAGCATGCTCCTTGGGCTGCAGCATGACTGATTGGCTCCTTGTGCTTCTTCTCCCTCCCTCCTTCTGAGCAGGGATCCTGCTGTACAGGGACTGTAAAAGGGTCATAGCAAGGTAAATTCAGATACTTTAACTGCTTACATTAAAAAAAAATACATTTATTGCATCCTGAACTCAGCGGCCAGACTCATCCATCTTACCAACTGCTCCGTTTCTGCCACCCCCCTCTGCCAATCCCTCCACTGGCTTCCGATTGCCCAACGCATTAAATTCAAAATACTAACACTGACATACAAAGCCATCCATAACGCTGCCCCAAACTACCCACCGACCTGATACCCAAATACCACCCAACCCGTACTCTTCGCTCCTCACAAGACCTCTTACTTTCTAGCTCCCTGGTCTCCTCCTCCCACGCCCGACTGCAGGACTTCTCCAGGACTTCCCCCTTCCTCTGGAACTCACTGCTCCAATCCATCAGACTGTCACCTACCCTCCTCGCCTTTAGGCGCACCCTAAAAACCCATCTCTTCAGGGAAGCCTACCCCATCCTCACTTAACAGCCGATCTCCTCCACTCCTCCTACCACTCCATCCCCCACAGCCACTTCCTCCTGTACCACTATCCCCTCCCTCCTAGATTGTAAGCTCGAAAGAACAGGCCCCTCGAACCCCTCATGTTTTGTTTTGTTACTGTATTGTCTCATGTTCTGTCCCCCACTGTAATGTACAGCGCTGAGCAAATCTTCTGGTGCTATATAAATACTGTATAATAATAATAATGTATTAAAGATTACAGAGCTGCATTAATTTGCGTTTTTGATGTCTGCTTGGCGTTCAACATCAAGAAATACACAGACTGCCTCTGCCTATTAATGCAGTGAAATGAGCAGTTGGTTCCCTAGTTCTATCAGTTTTTGAGCTACAACCTATCTTACACAAAGCAATATCAAAGGAAGCTTTATTGTGCAGATTATCATGCTGTCCATTTATGTCCATATTTCTCCTGTTTTGTTTTCCTTTATATCTTTTATTGCAACGTTTATACCCAAAGTGTTGTTGTAACTATGTTCTGAAAAAAAAAAAATGGGCACTGGCCCTTAAAAAAATTTACAATATTAAAAGAAGCTAAGGACACCTATATGACATGGGATGGTAGTTAGAAATGCAGGCACAATCAAACTAAAGAAAGATTTATTGTATGCAAGATCCGTCCAAAAACATGTTGAAAGCAGGTACACTTGTAGGTTTACAGGAAGGAGACATTTAACCTAGCAGATCAATTCTTGCCCTACAAATGATAAGCAAGTGGTTGTCTGTCATGTTTGGGCCATGCATACAGACATAAAATCATTATTTTGGTCCAGCCATAACCAGATAGAATGGGGAAAGTTGGGCCAATATTTGCAGGCAGTTTGGAGTTGATTTACTAAAGGCAAATAGACTGTTCACTTTGCAAGGGAATTATCCCCAGAGCTTAGTAAATGAGCTGAAGCTCTGCTGATTTCCACTATCTAACGCTAGTAAAAAAATCCTGTTTTTTTTTTTTTTTTATTATTTTCCTTGCACATCATTGTGCATTCTTTGCAAAGTGAAATTTCACTGCATTCAATAAGCTCTGGAGGAGGGGGGGGGGGAATTTCTTTGCATCTGTAGCACTACCCACGTAGGAGTCGTTGAAGTTTTGGATCCCCCTATAGTCCTGCACAGTCAGACAACTTGGATTTTTCATACAGACTTGCATGCAGGAGACAGTAACCAGTCCTTGAGCTTGTTTTTTTGGGTTTTTTTTATTAGGGGAATTAGAACTTGAATGGGGTAAGAGATGTATGGGATGCCCAAAGAGAATGGCAAGAGAGGACAATCTCCCTGGAACTATGTACAGGTCTCTTTAGACAGTAAAATTTATCTTCTGGAGTGCTAGCCAGCATCTCCTGGTGTACCACCCCAGACCCAGGATGAATCCTCTCCTCATCCAGCTGTACTGAGTGAATCCCTGGGCAGGGAATCCAGTGCCTGCCACTGCAGTGTGAAACAGTCCCTGGTAGCAGCTAATCCAGTTTCCCACTAGAGTGCTCCTTCCCCATACTGGCCCAGGCGGTGAAGGTCTACTCACTCAATCCTTCTCCTTTGCTACTGTTGGGTCTGTGGCCTTCTGCTGGGCTGCTCCTTCCCTACTGCATAGGTGGTCCTTGCTCGGGGGCCAGTGAAGTTCCAAGCTTTCCTCCTTCCAAGAGGAAGATTTGTGGAGCACACGACTAATAGTTGTCCTGTGGACAGATTCTCCCACCTGAGCTGTGGATCTCTGCAGCTCTTCCAGAGTGGGCCTCTTGGCTGCTTCTCTGATTAATGCTCTCCTTGCCCGGCCTGTCAGTTTAGGTGGACGGCCATGTCTTGGTAGGTTTACAGTTGTGCCATACTCCTTCCATTTTCATATGATGGATTGAACAGTGCTCCATGAGATGTTCAAAGCTTGGGATTTTTTTTATAACCTAACCATGCTTTAAACTTCTCCACAACTTTATCCCTGACCTGTCTGGCGTGTTCCTTGGCCTTCATGATGCTGTTTGTTCACTAATGTTATCTAACAAACCTCTGAGGGATTCACAGAACAACTGTATTTATATGGAAATTACACATAGGTGATTTCTGAGGGCAATTGGTTCCACTAGATCTTAGTTAGGGGTATCAGAGTACAGAGGACTGAATACGAATGCACGCCACACTTTTCAGATTTTTTTTGTAAAAAATTTTGAAAACCATTTATCATTTTCATTCCACTTCACAATTATGTGTTGGTCTATCACATAAAATCCCAATAAAATACATTTACGTTTTTGGTTGTAACATGACAAAATGTGGAAAATTTTAGGGGTATGAACTACCCCTATAGATACATGATTTTGCACAGAGCGACCACCCTGTAGCAGTAAAACCGCTACAGGGCGGCCGGGAAGTGGTTATTAAATGCTGTCCTTATCTCCGGTAGTGCATAAGAACAAAAACAGTAAAACAAAGCTTTTCATAAGGCATAACTGAACTACTTTGCAGGTAACTGCCCTCAGATTGAATAGGGCAATGGTTCTCACTGTCTGCCCACGGCTCAGCATCAGGATTTTCAATTACTGAAGGTTGTTCATAGGCCTCAAGTGCTTGGGGGTTATCATAGTCAGACATAACACCGTCACCTGGGCCAGCAACAGTGTCCACAGAAGGATCTGTAGGCTCAAAAGGACAGTCAACGTCTGCACATGGGTCCTCAGCAATGTTCTCAAGAGTTTTAGAGGAACATTTTCTATTGGGAAAACTAGGCTCCAGGGGTATGGACTCAATGTGAGGAAAATACCATTCAATTTATAAATACCATTTAAATACTAATTTCCTTCCAGTGAGTTGCAGATCGGGGTGAGCAATCTCTGCTCAGCACACAGTAACTTAAAAGGTTTTGGTGAAGACAGTTTTTCACAGCCTCTGAACCCTCAGATACCACATACACCTACACAAGGGATGGTGAGAATGGTTGTTTTTCTACTCAATACGGGGTAGCCTCCCACCTAGCTCCACACAACATCTCCTACATTTTGGTACCAGCGGTCCCAGTGCCCTTGGTCCAGTGTCTGTAACATGTTCAACAACATGTGATTGAAGTGTTTAGAGACCCCATTGCCCTGAGGGTGGTATGGGGGAATGTGAGACTTACTGATTCTAATCAGGCGACACAGTGCAAAGAATACCTGGGTCTCAAAGTTAGGACCTTAG